GACCGCCATATTACATAAGTTCAAAGCTAGTAGTCTGATCGAGTCCTATGGGTGCATGTGTGCGGTCGCGTTCTACAATTATTATAAGCAAAACCAGGAGGAGGGTATGTATTTAGTTTATGTCTCTGCTGCAGGCGAGCCGGTGAAAATGCCGCTGGAGATAGAGGGAGTAGTTGCTAAGTACCCTGATCTATTTTGAAGAGCCGACAGGGGTTGTTGAGAGGGAGGTCGTCCACACGATAGAGATTATCCCAGGATCTAGTCTTCCGAAGGGTAGGATCTATCGGACGTCTCCAGGCGAGCTTGATGAGCTTCGCCGCAAGGAACTCATAGAGAAGGGTTGGATCCGGCCGAGTGTCTCTCCTTATGGGTCTCGAGTTCTATTCGTACCTAAGAAGGAGGGTACTCTTAGGATGTGCATTGACTATAGGGGCCTCAATGCCATCACTGTAAAGAGATCCCCTATCGCGCATCGATGATCTGTTAGATAGAGTGGAAGGGTGTCGGTACTTTAGTAAGATAGATTTGAAGTTCGGGTACCATCAGATTGCAATCCGGCCCGAGGATCAACACAAAACCACCTTTCACACCAGGTACGGTCTGTACGAGTTTGTGGTGATGCCTTTCGGCCCTTGCAATGCTCCTGGCACCTTTCAGCACGCTATGAATCAGATATTCCATGACTACTTGGATAAGTTTGTCATGGTGTACCTCAATGACATACTTATTTTTAGTAAGACTGTCGAGGAGCATGTTGCACATTTGGACAAGGTCCTCAGTCTTCTACGACAGCACAAGTTCAAGATCAACGGTGAGAAGTGCGAGTTTGGCCGCACCCGTGTCTTGTACTTGGGTCATGAGATCTCTGCGGAAGGGTTGAAGCCCGTTGACGCGAAGGTGTTCAGCATTCGTGATTGGCCACGTCCTCAGTCTGTGATTGAGATGAGATCTTTCTTGGGAATGACAGACTACTATAGGACTTTCGTTAAGAACTATAGCATAGTGGCCGCTCCTTTGACTCATCTAACCCGCCTTGACACCCCGTGGGAGTGGACAGATGAGTGCGAGGCTGCTTTCAGA